TTCTCACCTACATCGTCCACATGGGACGACTCGGGAACTCAACTCCTACCCCGGGCAGCTCACCTATCCCCTTATGCCCAGGGGAAAGGTATCAAGCCGTTTTACAGCTGATGCTAGCTGTCAAAACGGCTTTTACGCTGAAACAGGCGGGAGGCAGCAAACAGCTGCTTCCAACGAGGTCGCCTGCCACCGGAAGTCGGCCATTATTTATATCTTGAAACCAAAATATACAAGTGTAATGTTTGGGATATTTGGGAGTTTGATTCCCCCCCCCACCTCCAGTTTTCACGGTCAGCTATTGGCAGTTACCCAAAGCATCTTCTCTATCTGGGGTGACAGCGCATTTAAGCTATCGAAGGACTGTCTTTGGGGAGTTACGGAATGGACTTGGTTTGTATGGTATGCTAGGCCATGCTTGCTTAGCATCAGCCATCAATAAATCCTATATTAATAATTTCTTGCAGAAATGTCTCTGCAGCCAGTGTCCTAGACCAGGGGTAGGCAACCTTGGCTCTTTTATGACTCGTGGACTTCAGCTCCCAGAATTCCTGAGCCAGCCATGCTGAGGGGAAAGGGAGAGGTTTCCAAGCTGAGCCATGCTGCTCAGGAATTCTGGGAGTTGAAGTCCACGAGTCATAAAAGAGCCAAGGTTGCCTACCCCTGTCTTATTTAGTAGTGGCTGGCCAGCTAACAATAGAGTCCTTTGCTAATTGAACAAAACACAAGGGCTCTATGGCTGATCAGCTTCTGCATGCAGAGCTAGGAACGCAAATCATTTCTGAAATGCTTTAGCTTCCTTAAAATATTCCCTGTGTAGTTGGAGCAGGAAAAGGAAAAAACAAATCCAGGAGCATCAAAAAATGAGGTTGCAGAAGCTAGCCAGACTGCATTTCCCTCTGTTACTTCAGGTTCAGACACTCTGTCAGACCAAAGTAAACTAACCAAAACTAGGCCACAACTACAGACCCTGTTTTAAGATATACCCAGTTTGAATGGTGGACTGGGTTCAAAGAACAAAGTCAGTCTCCACAAAGTTGAAGAGAAGCCTTATTCCTAACCCTACCACCATTCCATATTGATGGGACCTAAAAGGGAAGGTAGGCCTTTAAAGCAGACGTGAGGACTGATAGCAAAATGGCCGCCCTAGTACATGTATGTGCAGACAGCTGGAGATAGTTTTCCAGTAGCTACGGGAGCCTTGTGACTGCTCTAATGCTTTGAATAGAGGTGCTTGATAATTATCATATTGTAATAGAATAATCTCTTAATAATAGTTTTCAGAGGAAGCCATGAAAGAAAAGAATGAAATAATTGGTCGCCTGGAGAATAAAACTAGTGAGATTACCGCAACTATGAAGCATCTGGAACAAAGGTACAACGTCACAGTCTTTTTAGTTTTTTTCCTTACTCATTTTCTCTTGCCCATGTTCAGGGGTAGGCAACCTCAGCTCTTTTATGACTCATGGACTTCAACTCCCAGAATTCCTGAGTCAGCTATGCTGACTCAGGAATTCTGGGAGTTGGAGTCCATGAGTCATAAAAGAGCTGAGGTTGCCTACCCCTGCCCACGTTAGGTGCAAACTTTGGCAAACGTTAATTATATTTTTATATAATCACCACTGTTTTTCACGGTGCTCAGTTTAACACCCAGATTCCTAATCCACGGTTTGAGATCAGTGTTTTTTAAAAACCACGATCTCTTATTTCATATGCATTGACAAGCTGAGCTTCTGCAAAAAAAATAAAAATAAACATTTCAAAAGTCTGTCCTGCTAACTTATGATGGTGATGGGAGGAAAGTAGGAACTGGGTTTGTTCCAACTTTGCACTACAACATGCTAGTTTGGCAGGTTATAGACCCAGTTACCTGCATATTGTGCCAAAAAAAAAAAAGACATAATTTTTCACATTTAACTTCCTCTTAACTTTAAATACCTGTTCGTGCCATCATTCAAACTGATCTGCTTTCACACACTTCTGTGAACACAGAAGATGCCTCCCTGAGTTGGGAGAATCCAATTTTCCTTTCTGCTCTAAATCACATTATAGCCCATTTAGGAGATTGCAGTTAGCTATTGCGAAACTTTCCTCCCTTTTGAATTTTTCAGATTGTTAATAATTCTTCCAAGCTCCCTTTGACCTAAATATATGCTATGCTGGGGGCAGGGGATAAGACTTGGATCTTCTTTTAAATGCAGCTGTAGACTGATGCATTGAAGGATGAGTTGAAAGGTAGAAAAGCCACAAGGAATGTTTTCAGTCCAATCCAGGGGCTCTGCCCCCTCCCCCCCATTTTTTGCCAGATGTGACCTGCTCAGTTCCCTCCAATACCAGCAGCCATAAGGCCATCAGAAAAAGCTGGGAGGGTCAGCTGGCAGATGACCTGCTACATTTTGAGATTGGCTGATTGCTATAGAGTTCAAATTTTCAAAGAATTGTTTTGTTAACTGGATTCCTCATATTATTATCTGTGCAGCAGGTTGCATGCAAAATGGAGTAGTTTCAGAAGCAAGTTATATTTTTGTTGATACTAATTCCATGAAAAGAGATTAAATATAAGGCAAGATGTACATAAGAGCTTAAGTGCTTGTAAAATAACCCTAGAGTTTATGATTTAGTCCAGGGGTCTTCAAACTTGGCCCTTTTATGACTCGTGGACTTCAACTCCCAGAATTCCTCAGCCAGCGTGCCTGGCTGAGGAATTCTGAGAGTTGAAGTCCACAAGTCATAAAAGGGCCAAGTTTGAAGACCCCTGATCTAGACATTAGAGAGAGAATTGGTACCATGGCAGTATTCTGAGGGAGCGTTACCCTTTGTTTCTGACTTGGTTTCACTTGTTAGCAGAAATTTCTAGTCGAGAACTCATGATGTTTCTAGCCATGGTTGGTTTAGCCTCAGATCTAAGCCAATCGTATTTCTCCCATAAGAAGCCAAGAGCAAATTTAGGCTTATGGTGAAATAAATCAGCTATCCTGGTTGGAGGTGTTCGCAAGTTTGTGTGTCAAAAAATTATCAGGCTTGATCAATACCCTTACACCAGGGGTGTCCAACTCCCAAAATTCCCCAGAAAGCCATGAAGTTGAAGTCCACAAGTCTCAAAGTTGCCCAGGTTGGACACCCCTGCCCTACACCTTTTTCATTGTATTGCACAGAAAAAGGAATAGGGCTTTGATTACAAATTTTTGACCAACACATCCTTGTGGACACTCGTGTTTTGATTCAAGTGTAATGCTCACATTTCTGAAAGAAGCAAAGTGAGGAGGGTTAGAACAGAGTACACAAAAACCCTTGCTCCTTTTTTTCTCAATTCCTGGCCTGTGAATTTGCAGTTGTTGCACCACAATCCCAGAAGTATGTTAAAAAATGGTTGATTTTCTAAATGCTTAAAAATGTAAACATCCATAGTCTCATCGTTGTTTTCTTTTTCAATCCAGTCTATTGAACAAAAACATTATGTATTAAAACGTCAGTAAGCATGAATATTCTTTTATTGACATCGTTTTTCCTCTTTCTTTTTCTTTTCTCCTTTATCCCACATTTTTGGATGTTTTTTATTGCCTTTG